GCTTGTACTTGCTATTTCCGAAATAAAATCCCTTCGACGATTATTGTAAAAAAAATCAATCGTGAGAAACTCTGGCGGAGAATGACAAATAAAGTAATAAAATGTATGAATGGCGAAATTAGCATTACCCTTTAAAACCATACTCACTACATATCGCCATAACATTAAATTGCATTTTAATTCAGATTTCTATTCAATCAATGAAGGTGTGTATGACAATTGTAATTTACCGCCCCCTAAACTGTATAATGGTCAAGTTAGTGCGATTCCATTAAAACATCTACAAGTACGGGGTAAAGATGTGTAACAGCAATTAAAACCACCACCCGTCTTGTCCTTTTCAAGCTACAGGTTACCGAAAGTTTGAGCACCATTCTATGTTGTAACTGATTTATTCTGTATCAGTGTATTTGTTGTGAAAAAATTCCTGGGGGTATTCACACAGGTCGCCCTCCTACATTTATTTTTGTGAATTCATTGTACTTATTTTTCATTCTTAATTAATTGTGTGGGATATCTTCAAATTAATATAAAATAAACACGTAATGTTTCTTTATTTTTATTCTCAAAATCGTGTTTCATTAGACTGAATGTAAGTACGTTTATGTTTTGTAATAAGATTTATATGAATTCAGTTCTGTCAAGAAATGATGTCAAATTTTAAGTAAGTGGTGTGTGGCTTTAATACACAGCATAAAAGTGGAACAAAAATACTTAGAAAAATATCAATCATTGTATATGATGCTTATATTAAATATATCAACCGGTATGAATTGAACCTTATCTTTCAGTTTTATTTTAATAAATTAAGTCTACCTTCATAAGAATTCTTCAGATAAAGCTTTTTACATCCTTTTCCTATACCTGGTTCTTAAGGTGGTACCCAACACCTTGACTAATATTAATTTGGCTCGTTTAATTTTCATAAAATTTTGACAAAATGTTTACTTTGACCCTTTGACAAAAATATAAAAATTTCAAAAAATTTGAACCAACCACTTTATCAGAAAAATTTCATTGATGATATAGCAGTTTGACAAACACTAATTTTGATCATTGAGAAGCTTAATATTTCCTTAACAATACAACGTAATTAAAACGTTTAGCTGATTTTTACAGAGTTATCTCCCTGTAGTGTTAGGTGCCACCTTAAATATAGTTATGTAATTTGCAATCATACCACATCTCCTTATTTTTATATTCATACAAAGCGATAGGTCTATAATAAGAGAGATAGTAAATGCAGAAAGTATACTCTTATTTAGAAATATTAAGCCTAACTAAAACCGAAATGTCATTAACTGTAATTCGATATCCTGCATTTATAACTTTTTTTCCATAAAATAACGTCAATTGCTGAAAGGCACCTCCTAAATTATTGAATCAACCATAATACCTTGGTGTTAAGTAGATAAACCCAATCGGACTAACGCCCTCGTCGGTGTATACTTATTCTTACTTATCGCACATTTAACAGTTTATATTCCAATAAACGTGATCTATTTGTTAAAACAATGTAGCCATTTTATTAACACAATATCATGACGAACACGTGGACTAGCTATGCTATCCGCCAGACGAGCATTAAATATCTCCGTAGGGATAAGACTAATCCAAACTGTAATAGGAGCGCGCAGTTTCATGTATACGTTAGAGTATCGACTGGATAAAATAAAAAGTTTCGATTGTCAACAAATATGGCCACGTCCATTACAGTCAAACCTGCAATAAAGGTCACCTCTATTAGTCAAACACGCGTTGTCAGGTCATCCTCCTCTTGTCCACCTATGTATTTTGAACCTTAATTCAAAGGTCACATCTCTTATAAGGTCAATTTTCACTATTCCCAAGTGTTATCTTTATTTACAGGTTTGGCTTTAATTGACTTTTTATGTTAATAGCTACTATTGAAACTATTTTCAATCTTTGGAAAATCAGACGAATGATATAATTTTAGGTAACGATGGCCATTGTAGTGTGTAGTCGGTGATACTATGTCATCAGTCTTTTAAGAAAAAGTTTCATGGCCTTTCAACCAAAATAAATATTAAGTCAACATAACTTTAGGTAATCCGATGAAAAAGAAGTATTATTTACATCTAGTTGCATGCATCATGTATCAAAAAGTAAAATAACAAAAATACCGAACTCCAAGGAAAATTCAAACGGAAAGTCCTTTATAAAATGGCAAAAACAAAAGTTTAAACACATCAAACGAATGGAAAACAACTGTCATATTCCTGAAACCATATTTGGTTTTATTCTGTTTGAGTTCAATAGTCTTTTTAAAGTAATATAAGAACATTCTCCTTTCATATGATAAAATGGCGATTTTCTTTGTTTGAGGTTCATTTTAAAAGGGTTGAGGGTTAATTGCTTTTTTTGTATGTCGATTACCCTTTTATTTGCGCAACAAAGTCTTTCATTTGTGCCAATTTCAACCTAACATGTGCGTCAATTTCCCTATATTTCATTATTATATTAACCTTTCAAATAAATCGAATAATACTACAGGTCTTATTTTTATTTTCTATGGAGAGTATAATCCTGTCTTATTTTACGTATTGGTGTATGCAATGTTCCCAACCCCACCCCCTCCCCCCCAAAAAAGAAGAAAAAGGGCACTTGCATCTGTATATTCCAACGAGACGTAGAGAATTACTGTAAATAGTACTAGTACTCTTTTCAATCTTAAATTTTGAACAGCATTTACATTGCACTAAAAAAGTATTGATTACTCCAAGAATACTCAAATACTTGCGCAAAAAATTATTAACACTATACCGAACTCAAAAGTAAATTCAAAAAGGGTAAGTCCATGACAAAACTGACAAAATAAAAAGTTTAACTTCATTAACCAACGGAAAACGAATTTAAAACAATTGTATTATTCCTGAATTTGTACAGGCTTTTTTTCTTTTTAAACCTGGTTTTATAGATTCATAGCAGACCTCACCCCCTTGCATAGTTGCTTTTAGTAAATGTTTACAATTTGAAACATTTTTATTGATAATAACAAAATAATTGAACAACAGGTTAAACCTATGTATAAGCTCACCCACAAGTTACAAGGTGGAAATATCAACAGTAAAGCCTATCTTAACTTGAAATGTATTCAAAAGTTATTACAAGTAATATGCTGTGGAAATCCTGAATATTGATAATTACCTTATCAAGATTAGTTCCGAAAAGACAATATAACATGACGTGTGTGAGTATCGATTCAAGTGCGCGTGTCGTGTCGTGTCTAGTTCAGTTTAGTTTCTTGTATGTTACTCTTTTAATAGTGGAGCACCTAGGGTATCGTTTTCCAGAATATGTATAATTGGTCGAATTAATGGCTACCAGCACCTATTCAAAATAAAAATGTTTATGTACAACTTGAATTACTTTTAATTGTTATCAAACTTAATAGTTTAAAATGTGCACTATGTAAACCAATGTGTGCATGTCACACAAATAAAAATATTCTGGAATAACACTTAACTGGTGAGGAACAGTTTAAACAGCTTTAGATATTTTACATTTGAGAGCATCAACACAAAAGACTCTTAAACAGAACGTTACAATTAACACACTCCTAGGTTCAATTTGCCAAAGGAGACTGTACTCTTAAGGTGTAAAGAAGAATAATTCATAACTTAAAAATGTCACATGTGGAGCAAGATCTGCTAATCTTTCCGGAGCACCCGAGATCATCCCCAGTTTTTTTCCTTGGGTCCGTGATGCTCAGTCTTTAGTTTCCGGTGTTGTGTTTAGAAGACTTTTGTCTTTTCTTTTGTCTTTTTCATTTTTTGCCATGGCGTTGTCAATTTGGCTTCGACTTATGAGTTTGAATGTCTCTTTGATATCTTCAGCCTCTCTTTTCTAAAACCTTTACAATCATAATTAAACATTTAAATTACGCTTGTTTTATTGTTAGTAAGTATAGTGTAGATATTTAATGTATAAAGTAATATTGGCGTTGAATACATGTTGTGCAAAGGAACCTCAAATAATTATGTTGACCTAAGACGGTTAAGGATGTTAACACTGAATTTCTAAAACTACCCAACAACACCTTGTTCAAATGGCAATCTACATGTTCCGCTCTTAAGCTTCATTCCGGTCACATTGTAAATCCTATATTTTGTATTTTGTTGTTGATTAGTTTTCGTCTGAATATGCATGAAATATTTGCCACTGCACGTTAAGCAAATAACAATCATCAATAGCTTTAATTTTAATGCAACCTTCAGACCAAGTTCATTGCAGTGCAGATTGTAATGTTTAAATATTTTACAGAAGATAAACTGCGATAGTGGAAACAACTACACGATAACTATAATGTGTTTTTAATCAGTTTTTTTTAGCGAAGTGTTTTAAAACGATACGGTTCATTTCGCGGAATAATATTTGAATTTGCAGATGATTATGAAAGATTGGTATTTAACGTCCATTGGTAACATCACGTGTATATCGAGACAAGAACATGTTAATGAGAAATGCATATGAACCCTGCTTCGTACAGGACAGACACGGCTACTGTATTTTTTTTTTTACGTGAAAGCCTATTAACATGTCACACTAACCGGGCACAATTTCCCTAGCCGACCAATCTTTGCTCTTACTCATAAATGTAGCGAGCTTGGTGATTTTAAATTCATCAAACCAGTTGTCAAAGTGATTAAACTTGAGATTATATCAAATTTCAATATTTGACACGAAGACATCGAGTCTCATTAATTTTATTTCAAAAGGATCAATTGTTTCATATTTCTATGTAAATTTCCATTGCTATGATTATTAAGATACAAATCCAACGTGAGGTTAAACATTTTCTAGAAAGACAAGTGTAAATAATATCTTTCTGTCGAGGAAATTAATTTCTTCTGTATTACATAAAAGAACATTGAACGTTGGTGATAAATTAGACAATAACAGTTCCATCCCACACCTGTCTTCAGCGATTTGATCGTGATTAAAAAAACCGTTTCGATGACTTGAAAATACGAACCAACCAGATACTCTGTCTCTTTTGAATGTTTTAAGCGCTTACACAAGCACGCGATTTTAATATCAGGTAAGATCCTCAATTTCATTATTGAATTGCTTAGTAGTGACATGAACACAGTTGTAATTTAACATGAAAGAGAGATATTTATCCAAAAACAGAAGAAGGTAAGACAAATAATTATGATTTTAATTAATTAAAATGTGATTTTTTAATTACTGTTTATTTGGTGTTTTTGTTTGGAAAAATGTGACTTAAATCATTATTAAGCGCTTGTAAAAATTAACCAGCAGATTTATACATCGTCGTCTTTACCATTAATGTATAATCTTATAAGCGTTGAGTTTCTGGAAAGAACATTTATCAAAAATTACAATCATATTTAAAACCAATTGAAAACCAATGATCGTTAGAATTAAAAAGATAGATCAAATTATAAATAATCAGTGTTGGATGGTTAACATTTTCAAGTAATATACCGTAATTACATTGTTTTCTCCCACATTTTATTGAGCAAAACTTTTACATTTTCATTAATTTCATATTGTTGACGAAACAGACAATACTGCAACACTGCATTGATATAAACTTAAAAAAACTTTAATCATACAGAAGCTAATGAGTTCATTAAAAGATCAACGAAACTTTTACTTTAAATGTGGTTGACATTTTAAATCTTCATTAAGAAAACACTTCACGAATTCTTAACAAAGTTGCGCCAGTGCATTTTCGATAGAATCTTACCAGTCTTGCAAGAAATTGTTCTCAGAACTATGGAGATATTATTTCAATATCTGCATAAAGTCTGTAAAATAGTACTTGTCAAATCTGTCAAATTCTTATTTCAGGAGAAAAAAAGATAATCGTGAAACGTTACCATTGTGTGTACATATTTCGTGACATTTTTATTTCCTTTACAGCATACACTTTTCACTCGTTAACCAATAATTTGGCAAGTGGTAAATTAAGGCATTCTAAAAAAAAAATACCAAATCTTAAAACAGAAATTAATCAGCTGGCTTAGGGAAGTTGGGCGCCGCAAATATGTTTAACCCCGCCACATTCTATATGTGCCTGCCCCAAGTCAGGAGCCTGTAATTCAGTGATTGTCGTTTGTTATCATATTTGTTTTTCGTTATTTGTTTAGTACATAAATCAGGCCGTTAGTTTTCTCGTTTGAATTGCTTTATATGTGTCATTCGGGATCTTTTAAATCTTGCTATGCGGTGTATTTTTCAATGTTTAAGGTCGTACGGTGACCTTTAGTTGCTAACGTTAACGACATTTGGTTTGTTGTATAGAGTTATCTCATTGACAATCATAACACATCTTTTTATTATTATATCACAAGTAGTTCCAGTATTAAGTCTCTGAATCAAACAGCTTCACCTAAGAAATCGAGATTTTTTTCATATCTTCTGATCTGATGCAAGTAAAATTTCACAATACAGTTGCAAGAAAATTTGCCGACACAGTCATGCATGATTGACATCGTTTATAAGTAACCGTATTAGCTACTTATTACAATTAACAATATTTCTTAAATCACAATAAGTTAGATACCAAATCAAGTTAATTTGTTTGCACATTTGGACCATTACGTGACGGTAAATCTTGCAATATATTTGGTAAAATGAGAAATGATTGAAGAATAAATTATTCGACCTTAAATGTAAAAGAGGGGCGAAAGATAACACAGAAACATTCCAACTCGTGAGTCGAAAATAAACTGACGACGCCATTAAAAAAAAACAAAAAAAAGGACCAAAAGACAAATAACAGTATACAAAACACAACATAGAAAACTAAAGACCGAGCAAGCAACACGAAACCCACTAAAAAAACCGGGGGTGATCTCAGGTGCCCCGGTATACATATACATGCAAGTCTTTATTCAGACAGATGTTAGGAAAACACGTATCATTCGTTGAAGAAACATTTTCTAAATAAATCTCATTCAAATGGGTAAGAAACTGAACTCTATGTTTTATAGCTAGCATGAAACCGATTACCTATTTAATTTACCCAAGTGATAATTATACAAAATTGATTGTTTTGGTTTGATTTTTATTTGCGTCTTAAACATTGAATACACTTTGGTATTTATATTTCATTGCTCTTCGTTCGACCGGCAATAATTACAAAACAATATAACTAACAATTCTTAACAATAAGGTAATCTATAGCTTCTTTTATTGATTTAAAGTGCATTGACAGGTTGTACCTATAGGAAGGATTAAGCTTCATCTAATAAGTTAGGATTCTACAATGGTAGAATAGAAATACGATTGATTCGACTGGACTGACTTCAGACGCTAAATTAACGCTGATGCACGGTGGTATTCTTTGTACACGAGCTCTTGGCACTTGACGCATATGCACATCCGTTTTGTTGTGCAGGGTATATTTTAATACTCTGTAATTTAATGACTAATTGGGGACTCTTGTACAAGATGCATAAATGAGTGGAATTGGAAAAAACTGTCGTAAATGTTGAAGGTTTTACGCATTGTAAAACCAGATTAAAAACAATTTCATTTGAAAGTATTGGTCCCAATGACATGTTAATTTTTGAAATACACCATGAAGTTAAGTGCATTTGTTATTCTTTATTATTATACTTCATGTCAAAATGCCAGATTTTGATTGGTTAATACGAGGGGGACAATTTACTCTAACCCATGGCAAATACTCTTATTACCCTTCGCGAAGACGCTTGCTTAAGTGTGCGCTTTATGAATACGGATGATTGTTATGTACAAGTCGACATAGTTTATTACTTTGAATTTGAAATTTAATAGACAGTAATAACAGAACATTCAGTATAATAAATTAAATAACACATATCTGAGAGGGTGATAGAGCAGATTGTTACCCCTCGAAAAGACATTGTCAACCTTGGCTTCGCCTCAGTTGACAATGTTTTCTCGGGGTAACAATCTGCTCTATCACCCTCTCAGCTATGTGTTATTTATATATTGGTGCGACTAGAACGATTTAAAACAAGGAAAGATGTGTGAATTTAGCTAAGTAAACTTGAACGGTAATGATTGCATTATCCATTTGAAATCTTACCAGGACCAAATTGAACCAAGGGTTCTTCAGGGTAAAATTAAAGTAAATTAAACAGAAGTTTTACGCACAACAACATGACTATAGGGTGATCGTTATGGGATATCTGTGTCACAGATGACCACAAAATAAGTTCCATTTTTTTGTAGCCACAATCCTGTCCTCCTTGTCCTCGTTTATGACCATCACCGAACACAAGATATAATCGCATTTTTACATGACATGAGTAACACTACGGGTGCCACTAGTGGAGCAGGACCTTATTACATCACTGGAGCATCTGATTTCATTCAGATTAAGGACGGATATTTGTGTTGGTCAATCTTTACTTTTCTTCATAGTGTTTTGTAGTTTGTTGTTTCATCTTTTTGTCTTTTTTCTGTTCATCATGGTGTTGTCTTTATTTCTTTGTTTTATTGTTGATCCCCGTTATCTTTCTTTTTGTTTTGTGAACTACTTGAACTGGAAATGGCATTAGAATCGGAATAGCAACTACTGCGACTTTAATAACTTGAAATAGCGAGTTTATTTGCCACAATCTTTATTGAAACAATCCAATTTATAGCACTCATCTAATCGTTCCTTGATAAATTGCGTCAATAATACTATTATTCTTGCCAAAGAATTGATAAATACGTCAAAAATAAATGTCAATACGTTAACATAATTTTTAAATACCAACGCTGGCATGTCCTCTGCTATCCTTTTAAAGTCAAAATATTCTGATACTTAGATTGCCATGATGGTGGTCAAGGACGTCTGAAATGAGCTGTCCATGACCTTTATATTTACTTGCAACTACTAAAGATTTCATTAATTAGTAGATTTAGAAGTAGTCGTTTGTAATGCATTTAGGTCATGGTTAATTCCACTGATACTTCCATAATACTGTAGGGAGATGGTTGACCTCATTTGAGAGTTTAATTGACTGCATTGAGAACAGCTCAAATCCCATAAAATTATGTAAACCATAGATGTATAAACCCAGTTCCGTTTCTACATCGAATGTTTATGACTGCTTTGAATGCAAAAGGTTTCTTATAAAAAAAGAGTAAATGGTTTTTTATTAGAAACAGAAAGAACACAACGGGAAGCTATAAAAAGATAAACTTAAGTTGTATAAACAAACGTCGTGAAAAGAATAACAAAAATCAGATAGGGTCCATTTTGCCTGATGTAGTTGCGATGTTATTTTTGTAAAATTTTCAGTTCAGACGGTGTCAATTCAAAAACTTTAAAAATTGATTGTGCAGCATATGCGCCTACTACATGGCAATTAGGAATTGGAGCAAAGGCTTTTCGGCTCGGAGTCAGAATAAAATCCCCGATTAGTGTGATATGGATTAATGCATTGTGAGCCATCAAGTTGAAAATTCGACTCTGTCTTTCGGTATAACAGAAAGCAGGATATATTCATATCGATTTAATTTGCATGATACTATCATGGGTATCATCTGATGTTTCAAAGAATGTGACAGGTAGACAGTTTACAAATGTTAATAGAAATATAGTTATGTAGTTCTATCGTACCGCGCGTGCGTAATTACATAACAATCATTCTGTAAGATATCAATAATTTTATATTTAAGAATTGCAAGTTTTTCTTTTTTGTAATTTTATTGGGATGTAAAAGCGTAAATCGAAGAACTTTTTGTATGAACATTTGTAGGCTACAACCATGAAATTTATGAGCTATAAACAACTTTTTGTTTGTTTTCCTATGCATTGTTGTGAAGTTGTCATGGGAAGCACGTGTTGTCATGAATGTTGAGAAATACAATTTGATATTGGAAAGCCTCGCGAATGCTTTCAGCCAATCAAAAGTACAGATTCTTATGAAACATACATGTAATGTAATCTTTAAATGACGGTAACTAACAACAAATAATGATAATGATTAGGATTTTCAATTCTTTTAAATAAAACTAAATCAGCGACACTTAATTAGTATATCGTGCTGATATCCACGGAAACTCATAAAGGTTTGTTTGTTGAATTTACGATTTTTTAATAGAAGAAAAGATAGTTTTGAGACGATTTTGATCTTGACATATATAAGTATTGACACAAGTCCCCATAAAATAATAACTTAAAT